GCTGCTCCTCTGTTAAGAACAATGAGTGTTCTTAACCTCTGAGCCATCTCTCCAGTTCCACTCTTATTTAATTCCTAAAGCATCTCTATGAATTCATCACTGTATCCACCACCCATTTTACGATTGAAAAAGGTATAAAGTCATATAGGCCAAAGTCATAGGTAAAATTTGGCAGTGTTCAGACAGGAGCCTGGTGGAATGTCCTGAGAGTTCCTACTCCGAGTACCTCTTCCTTGGCCACACTTAGAGTCCCTGGATTATTACTGTATCATTTTGAAGTAGCATTAAACAGAAACATTGTTGTGACTGAAGAATTCCAAAGGCACAGTGCTAAGCAAAGAAACTGCAGACCATTAAATAGTTATTTCTTGTTACAGACCCTAGAATTTCTAAAGTTAAGGCTCAATGTAACTGATTGCTATATAATCAAGGGCTGTCTGGCCAAACATCTGTTAGCACTGTCAGTTAACTTTTTTAAAAAGTTGTTTCTATGTACTGAAAGGTATACACACAATATTCATAGGGGCGTTGTAATGGCAAAGGACTAGAGACAAAAACAGAGAACCGTTACAGTAAACATCCATACTGTGGTATTGTATGCAGCTCTTTAAAAAGTTGACTTGCATATCTAACAGACAATGGGAGGCATCTTTTCTGTTGGCCAAGAACTACCGCTATGGCCAAACCTGAAAACAAATGTCCAAAGAGCCATCAGTGGCTGGAACATGGACCTTCTAGCAAAGGATTGGATATGCTTCAAGATGTAAATTTTGTTCCATGAACATCCCACCTCTACTCCAGTGCTTATCTAGCCATTCTCCCATTCATAAATGCTACCCACAGACACATACCCTCAGCACAACTCAGTGGAAAGATGGACTGGAGACACGAGGGACATCAGTCTCCATGGAAAATGCAGTGGTGAGGGGTCCTCTTTCCATTCTCTTTGCAAGGGCTCCTGGCCCCTTCTAAAGTAATGGGAGGGCCTCCAAGTCATAAATGGAGACTGAGTGTGCCTGCAGCAAAGGAGCACCGACCACCCTAGGGTATCTGTTCAGGCAGCAGACTTAACTGATCCAGACTGCCCACTTGCTGGTTGCACTAATGGAGGAGTGAGCCTAGCAGCGGCTTGTGAAATGGGAGTGTAAGTGTAGAGGGAGAGCAACTTAAACTGCTTGAATCCGCCCTACCCCACTTCCCAATCCAGCAATGGGATGCCATCAGAGGGCTGAAGCACACAGTTGGATGGACAATACAGCAGATACGTGAGTGTCGCCAGCTCCCAGGGGAGGCATCTAGGACCCCCTTGGTACTTAATCATTGTCATGTCCCCCGGTCTTGTTTTGCTTTTGTTATGTATTCTTACGTATTTCCTTTTGTAAAAAAAAAGAATATTTTATTCCGTATCCCATTTCAGAATATGGACAATTAGAGTCATTTTCAGATCTATTATGTTTATTAAACCAAATTAATGCATCTCCTTGTGATTAGTTTTATAGTCCCAATTTTGTTGGTTAATTTTCCTATGTTTTCAGTTTTGATTCATGAGCTTCTATTGACTTGCAGATATTTTTTCTCCTCTCTCCCTTCACCCATCCCTCCCTCTTTTCTCTTCCCTCCCCTCCTCCCAGTCTTTCTCCCCTTACCCCCTTTTGTCTGGTAGTGTTGGAGTTGGCACCAATCATGAATCAGATATTAAAATATCAGTCACAATGCCTTAGAAAGCACTGAAGGTAACACAAGAATTAGTACAGTTTGTAACCTGCATCATATGCTGTATGCTAGTGCTACCTAATAAAGAAAAATACATATTTGTAATGTGGTTGATTAACTCTCAGGGATACATAATTAAGTAAAAACAAATATAGCAAAAAAGAACAATACAGCAATAACAAAAAACAACAAACACACAAAAAATCCTAGTTCATCTAAAGAAGAAATGAGTGGCATGTTTCAAAATTTAGGAGACTGACAAGCAAGTTAAAATCAAATTCATGGTAATTGAATTGAAAAGGGATTCCGTCCAGTTAATGGTCACTAAGTAATGGTTGCTCTATCAACACAACTGCTTAAACATTTGAAAAGTAAATATTCTATCCATTACCAAAATGCTTTCCCATCTCCACATACTTTATGATGACTCTCAAAAATAAGATCCTCTGTAGACACCATGTGTGACAATGTGACATCTGAAAGATGTCCCATAACAAACAAGAGAACCATAGAAGATTAAAAATCACACTGAAAATTTCTAAGAAAAACCCTTAGTTTATCTCTGACATCGGGTCTGAAGTTGAGTCGGACAGCCATTTCTCTGGCTGACCACAGAAGTGGGTGGTTTCAATGTAGAGTCATGTTGGGTGTGTGTGTGGCAATTTTGGACTAAGAGCTCACTCAGTGTGGCCCAATGAGCCACCTGTAACATTCAATGGAAATGCATCTGCAGAAAAACAGATTTAACTCTTTTTTTGCATCCTCACTCCAAAGAGGCACGGCCTAGAAACTAAGACAGAGTGGTAGTTGAGGGGTTTCTCTATTGCCTTGCACATTTAACTAAAGTTTAAATGAGGATAAGGGATGCAGCTCAATGGCCAATCGTTGCCTAGCATGGACGAAGCTCTGAGTTCCATCCCCAGAATTGCAAAACAGGAAGAAAAAGAAGTTAGAAGTGTGTGAGAGGGCTGGAGAGGTGGCTCAGCGGTTAAGAGCAGTGACTGTTCTTCCAGAGGTCCTGAGTTCAATTCCCGGCAACCACAGGGTGGCTCACAACCACCTTGAATGAGATCTGGTGCCCTCTGCTGACATGCAGGCAGAGGATTGTATACATAATAAATAAATAAAATATTAAAAAAAAAAGAAGTGAGATGTGACACATTTAACCCCCTGTGATAACTCTAATGGAGTAAAGGTAGAAGTTGTGGGATATTCCTATACACTGTGTGAATATATGTTGCTGTGATTGGTTTAATAAAGAAACTGACTGGGCAATAGCTGGACAGAGTAAGGTCAGGTGGGAGAGCCAAACTGAGAATACTGGGAAAGAGAAGGGTAGAGTCTGGAGTCGCCAACAGATGGAGAAGTAAGGTGAGCATGCTGTACTGAGAAAAGGTACTAAGCCTCATGGCAAAGCGTCGATAAGAAATATGGGTTAATTTAAAATGTAGGAGTTATGGGCTGAGTTTGGTGGCGCACGCCTTTAATCCCTGCACTCGGGAGGCAGAGGCAGGCGGATCTCTGAGTTCAAGACCAGCCTGGTCTACAGAGCAAGTTTCAGGACAGCCTCCAAAACAGTTCAGAGAAACGCTGTCTCGAAAAACAAAAAACAAAGCAAAAAAAAAAAATGTAGACGTTAGCTAGTAACAAGCCTGAGCTATTGACTGAACATTTGTAACTGACATTAAATCTCTGTGTCAGTTATTTGGGAACTACTGGGTGGGAAAGAAAAGTCTGCCTACAGGAAATGTTGTCAAGAAACACAGACAAATTTGCTTGACACACAGTTAGTTAGCCAGTCAGTTTTGCTCACAGAAGATGAGAGATTGCTGTTTCTGCGATGGCATCCTTGTTCCTGGTACCACAGCAAGCAGCCTGAGCATCAGAATGCTAGAGTTATTTTCCCATCATTGGGAGCCCAGTGTGCTGACATGAGTGGGTACCAGGACACATGTGGGATGTATACAATAAGAGCCTTGAACTTAGCCTGGTGGTGGTGGTGGAGGTGGTGGTGGTGCACACCTTTAATCCCAGGTTGAGGCAGGCAGATCTCTGAGTTCAAGACCAGTCTAGACTGCAGTTCAAGGACAGCAAAGGCTACACAAAGAAACCCTGTCATGAAATACAAGCAAAACAGAAACGACAAAAAAGAGCCTTGATCTTAGAAAATTCTATTGTTGTTATTACTATTATTATTATAATTAGCACTAAACATCTCTGAGCCTCAAAATGAAATAATAGTTCCATTCCCCCAGAGCTATTGTTTCAGTGAGGAGGAAGAATGTCTGGAATACTCTGGCATTCAGCAAATCCTCGCTGCTTTTCTTCATTGATTTCCTCATGTAGTGAGTCAAGAGGATTGTTTTTTTCTCTTCCTTTTTTTTTAAAAAATTTAAGTTAGAAACGAGTTTGTTTCGCATGTCAATTCCAGCTCCCTCTCCCTCCCCTCTCAAGTGGATTTCTAAAGTTGTACTTTTATTGCTTTTAATTACGTGTGTGCGCGCACGTGCGTGTGGGGGGGGGAGGGGGGCACCCACCCAAAGGGATCAGAGGTGCTGGGTTTTCCCAGGGCTGGAATTAACAGGTGGTTGTGAGCTACCAGCTCAGGTGCTGGGATCTGAACTTGGGTCCTCAGCAAGAGCAGCATGTGTTCTCAAACGTTGAGTCATCTCTCCATACCCGAGTGTGTTTGGTTTTTGGTTTATATGTATGGGGACTAGAGAGATGGCTCAGCGGTTAAGAACACCTGCAGCTCTTCCAAAGGACCCGAGTTTGGTTCAGCACCCGTGCCAGGTGACTCACAGCTGCCTCTAACTTCAGCCCCAGTAGGCTCTGATACTTCTGACCTCCAAGTGCCTGCACTTGTGTGCATGCCCACACACATACATATACTTAAAAATAAAATAAATATTAGAAAATATAGTTATGTCTGTGTGAGCATGTGCATGAGGGCAGGTGCGAACAGAGGCATTGGGTCATCCGGAGCTGGATTTATAGGCAGTTGTGATCCACCCAGTGTGGCCGCTGGGAACCAAACGGGTCCTCTAAAAGAACGGCAAGTGGGCGTAACCCCGGAGACATCTCGCTTGCACCCTCAAGTGCATATTTGGGCCTGCGCCAGAGCCCTGTGGGGCCCCCCTTCTCTCGTGTTGAGAAGTAGCTCCTAGGATCCCATTTGTATTAGATAGAATTTGGGTTCAGATGCTACAGCCAAGGGCCCCCAAGATGACAGTGACTTGCAAGAGGTAGGGATGTGTTCCCTCACTTGACACTGGGGGAGACACTGGTTGACATGGCAGCTGGAAGGCGCCTTGGTTGTTTTATTGCCCCCCCCCACTCTTCCAGGGGGAAAAATGCTTTGTCTGTGTCAAAACACTTAACGTGTCTTTCCCAGAAGTTGTACAGGCCACTTCTGCTCATATCCCACAGATGAGTCACCTGATGACAAGGCGTGGTAACTTTCAGTGCAGGCTGGGGACTTTGTCTTCAATCCATGAGACACAGCCACATCTGCCATTCTACGTTTCTTTGCCTAGAGGGGCATTGAGAATAAAATAATGTAAGGAGATGAAGTTTAAGCCCTGAGACGGTTGAGCTGGGGAAGGAGGTGCAAAGACCATCCTAACGAGCTGGGCAGGGGCAGCACAATGGGTTGGTGGGGGTGGGGTTGTTGGAGTTGGGGGTGGGAGGGTGGGGGGTGGACTTGAAGCTTTTCCCACCAGAGTAGTTCCCTCGGGCTGCTCCTTTGGGGCTCTCCGTAGAACTCTAAGTCAGTGGCCTCTCTTCGTGTTGCCTGAGTTCTTTCATTAAGGAAATGAAATGAGAAGTGGACAGAGGCCCAGACACCCCTCTCATTACTGAGACACCCTGGTGGAAGAAGAGACATTGCTTCTGGCTGCAGGAATGCAGTAGGTGAACCCCAGACCTGGCCTGTGGAGACCGAACGAAGCAAGTTCCCAAAAAGGTGAACAGAATCAGGGACCATGCTGAGCTGAGCACAGCCAGGAATTCTCAGATTTACCAGACAATTGGCCCAAGGAGGGAGGAAGAGGAAGAGGAGCAGGACCATCAGAAAAAAAATCCTTCCCAACTGAAACAAAACTAGAGAAAAGGAGTTCCGCTCTATCATCCTGATGGACAGAGTGTGGGGGTCTCAAAAATAGCAGAACAAGCAAGTCTGTAGAAAAAACAAAACATACATGTGTTGAAGAAGCTGGGCAGTGTTGGCACACATCTTTAATCCCAGCACTGGGGAGGCAGATGCAGGCGGATCTCTGTGAGTTTGAGGCCAGCCTGGTCTACAAGAGTGAGTTCCAGGACAGGCTCCAAAACAATACAGAGAAACCCTGTCTCGAAAAACCAAAAAATAAAAAATAAAAAAATAAACAGGCCCAAACTAACATGTCAGGAGTTCCTTGGATGGGAGCTCAGCCTTTTTCTTTGTAGTGCTGAGGCTGTAGATAAGTTCTTTAATGAACTTCGCACCCTCGTCTGCAAAAGGTGGTGGTACCAAATCCCTGCAGTGGTGACTAAGCTGAAATGAGGTGAGGCTCTTAGCATGGGACCTGGAAGGGAATGAACGTTCACCTGCTGTCATGGATGCTGCAGAGATCAGAAGGGCGTTCAAGGAGAAACACAAATGGGAAAGAGGGAGGTTGGGGAGGAATGGGAAGGAGGATCTGCAGGCTTGGCTGTCTGAGAAGTTGGCTGACACTTGGGACAATCTCAGCAGGATCTTCCAGAGCCCATGGCATGCACACACACATACATGCACACACACATGCAGGCACACACACATACATGCACACATGCACACATGAAGAACCAAGACTAGTTTTGAATCTGCGTCAGAACTCCCTGTTTTAGGAACAGATATTGCTTTTATAGATGTTAGGAGAGGCTTGGTTTTGCTGTGTGACAAGTGAAACCACACTCCAAACTCAGTGCTTATTACAACGACAAACATTATTTCTTGCTGATGCTTGCACCCATAATGTGCTTTCCATGCCATGCCATGCCATTTTTACTCCAGGACACAGATGGCACACTCTCTGTCTCTGTTTCTGCACATTGCCAGATTTCATGGGAAAAGAGACCATCGAAGATACTGAGTTGTCAGTCTTCTCTCCAAAGTATTGCAAATCACGATGTGTTGAGAGTGTTTGTATAATTCTCCTGTAGAAGGATGAACGTAGGAGACAACATTCCAGTCAACCACAACAGACTCCATGCATATCCAGGAGCCCAAAAGACAGGTGGTGGCTAAGAGCTGCCCTCTGCAAAATAGGTACAGCAATATCTGTCCTATGGACCTTACTTAGAATAGGTGGAAATTTACATGAGTAATAGATTTTCCATAGTGTACCCCTGATGCAGTAAATCAGATGGAGCAAACTGAAAACGCAACAAAACAGAAAAAAAACAGGTATATTTGAACAAAGCAACTCCCAGGTGAGCCCTCCAGCCCCAGACATCAGGGGTCAGTTTAATCAGGAAGCTTATATACCCTGTAGGCTAGGGGTGATGACATGTCTGCCACAAACTGGGTTTGTGCCCGAGTATGGTCAAAAGCTGACCACTTTAGATGGGAACTTGGTGTAAGTGTTTCGACAGATCTGATGGGATGGACAGGGATGGATTATGACACTCAGGAGCCAAAGAATACTGAGTGTTATAGCTTAGATGGAAAGGTATTCTGACACTCAGGAGTCACAGAATGCCACAAGTCACAGTAAACATAGCAGTAAACATAGCCCTGCTTCACAGAAAGGCTTCCCAGTGTATCAGCTCTGCTCCCCCAGAAGACGGTTTCCCCCACAAAGTTGTTACAGTTCCAGCCTGGTGCCCCGGAGAGCAGAGTATAACATCTCTGCTTAGCCAGGGGAAGGCTCCCCAAAGAAAAGTGTTATAGCCTGCTCTGCCCAGGGTCATCTCTGCTCCAGCAAAGCAAGGTCTCACCCAAACCTCATTCAAGATATTTATTGGGAGGGAAGAATCCAGGAGAGTGGCTGCCCTCTGCCAGGGTGGCAGAGGACAGCCAGGCAGCCAGAGCAGTCATAAGCTGAACAGACACAGGATTTATATATGGCTTCCAGGGTGGGGATTGGTCAGATTTTAGTGCTGAGCTCAGATTGGCTAGAGCTCTGCTCGAGGATTGGTTAGTTTTCTGCACAGGATTAGGGTCAGATTTGGCTCTGGTTTCAGGGCCAAAGTGTGTTTCTTTCTCTGGTCCTTTTTAGCCTTTTGGCTCCAATTTTAGGGCCAGGGTGCATTTCTTTCACTGACTCTGATTCCAGGGACAAAGTGTGTTCCTTTGGCACTGGTTTCAGGGCCAGGGTACATTTCTTTGGTTCTGATTGCAGGGCCACAGTGTGTTTCTTTGGCTCTGCTCAAGGTGTGTTTCTTTGGCTGGTCCTTTTCCCTACACTTGGGCTACTGATAACTTCAGGGAAGGAGCTGCCAAAGCTACCAAGAATGTGGGGCTGAGCTTTTTGGTGCCTTTTCTTTGTTGGAAATTCTCTGAGAGGGCAGGGTTTTTTGTGGGGGGCTTTCCAGATCAAGCAGGAGTGAGCTGGGAGTTCCAGTCAAACAATGAGAAGTACAGCTATGAGGTTAGTTGGTAAACTGTCATGTCCCCAACTCCTAAGAGGGAGTTTCCTTACCTGAGTATTGGAAGAGATAATGGCACTATTTTTCTTTCTTTCTTTGGTTTTCAAGACAGTTTCTCTGTGTAGCCCTGGCTGTCCTGGAACTCGCTCTGTAGACAGGCTGGCCTCAAACTCACAGAGATCCGCCTGCCTCTGCCTCCCGAGTGGGATTAAAGGAGTGTGCCACCAGGTCCAACTACAGTGTTATTTTTGTATCTCATCCACTCTGTGCCCAGGAAAGATCTTTCAACCATGCTAGTGCCACACTGTCTTACATGCTTTGTCCTGCTCAGTCCACAGAAGTATGCCACTAAAGCCACTAAGGTCACTCACCTCACAGACGGATAGACACATAAAATGCAGTGGCATGTTATTTAGTCTCAGACGGGAAGGAAATTCACATTTAAGCCACACATGGCTAAACCTTGAACATGGTGTGGAAAAAGCCAGGCGCAGCAGGACTGACACTGTGTGGTTACAGTCACATAAAGTCCCTCCAGTACTGGACACATAGACACAGGAGATGGAGAGGCTTAGCAGGGCTCGGGGAGCTGAAGCCAGGGAGAAACTGCTTGCTTCATGGGTACAGAGTCCTGGTCTTCAATGAGGAGAGGGTCTCTGAAGCTGAGCAGTGGTGACAGTTGCACAATAGTGTGTGTCTACTTAACGCCACCAGAGTACACACCTACAGGGTTTAAACAGTAACACGCTGGCCATGCATCCTGGTTTGCTTTCTGTTGTTGTGATGCATACCATGATCAAAAGCAGCTTCCAAGCCATGGTCCATCACGGAGGGAACTCACTAAAATCGTCTGGAACTGTGTTTAGACTTTACATTTTGATTGTCATCTGAGCTGAAAATTTTCAAAATAGAATACTTATTTAACTGGGAGACAGAAAATAACTGTAATGAGTGTTTGTAATGCTTTTACTTTTTAAAAGACGGTATTCGTATTGGTCTTTGGGGGTTTCACATCATGCACCCCAGTCCCACTCACTCCCCAGTCCCCCCCACCCAGGAAAAAGAACGTTTGCTCCCCATCTGTGCTGCCTCTCCATCATCCCGTCACCCACCTTAGTGGCACTGGGAGCTGCAGAACGTCACACAGCAGACCCTTAGTGGCACTGGGAGCTACAGTATGTCACTCAGCAGACCCTTTTGTCCAAATAGCTTCACTTGCAAATGTTCACTTTAATGAGCCGTTGGTCTGTGTCAAAGCCTCCAATTTCTGTTACACCATCAATAGTGGACCCTCATCTAAATGCCTCTCAGATAGCCCGCTGCTGCCCTCCCTCCGCCATCATGGGGATCCTTGGTCTATGGCTCAGCGCCAGTCCCTTCAGGTACTCCAACAGGTCATAGCTGGGTAGGTGTGAGGTGGGCCAGCTCAGAGCAGTGGGTATGGATCCTGGTGGTAGCTAAGTTGGTTGGTGTGGTAATTAAATGTAATTGGGGCCCATAGTCTCAGGGAGTGTCACTATTAGGAGGCGTGGCTTTGTTGGAGTTGGGGAGCAGGAACAGGAATATAAACCATTAAGTAGCTGTTTATTGAATCACTCCCTAGTTCATGCTCAGCTAGCTTTTGTCTATAGCCAAGACCCCCCCCAGGGGTAATGCTGCCCACAGTGGGCTGTGGGCAATCATCAGTCTCTCAGAGACATGCCATGGGCAAGCCTGGTCTCACTGGAGGTTCACTCTTTCCAGGAGTGTCAAGTTGACGTGAAAACTAGCCAGCACATTGTATAAAGATGAGGGCCTGAGCTGGGCGGTGGTGGCGCACGCCTTTAATCCCAGCACTCGGGAGGCAGAGGCAGGCGGATCTCTGTGAGTTCGAGGCCAGGCTGGACAGATAGCCTCAAAAACAATACAGAGAAACCCTGTCTCGTAAAAACAAAAAAAACTCTCTACTGGGAAAAAAAATAACACATGCAGCCATTTTGGAGGACTTACGACTTGGTATTTTTGTTCCAGAACTTTAAAAACAGAGCGATGAAGAGATCTCGGATGGCTCTGATGTTCTCTGCTGGTTGCTGAGAAGGCTGTGCTGGGCAGGAGAGGACGTGGACTGACGGGACATTCCCTCTGGCCTCCGACGTGGGCCCTTGTCTCTTCAGGTCCACTCAAGCCCCTCTCAGAGTTGGGCTTTCCTCTCTGGCCTTGGTAGTAACTTAACTGGCAGACCCAGAAGAGGCCGTGGACATCTTTTAAAACCTGTCTCTGTCATGCCAGGAAGAGCGGTCCCGGCACCCACCCAGCAAGTCCTTTCCAAGTTGAGACTGGACAACGGATTTTGGACTTCTTATCTACTGCTTCCTCGGGTTCTAACTGGGCAGTGTAAGACCCCGAATTTATAGAAATAAAATATAAGCTTAAACAGGGAGGGCACCCCACTAGAGAACTTGGGAAGTGAACAAAGGACCCCATCCCAGGAACTGTCCATACCACAGAATGGAATGTATGGTTTAGAGACCTTAATTGCAGAAGGGCTGTAAATCCACAAAAAGCCAATTATGGGCTGCCATCTGTGAAGAACTGACCAGAGCAAACAAGACTAGTGGGAAACAAGGAGATAACACTATTTACTTAGGGAGAGATAATTAACTCATGCCAAGGTTTGAGGAATTTACAATATGAAGGACATCTACTTCCCTGGGTCGGGAGTTACGTACCCCCTTCCCCCGTCACGAGTTAGGGACCCCTCCCAAAAGCTTGTGGTTTTTGTCTTTAAAAGCTGATTGTAACTGAACCTCGGGGCCAATCGGTCTAAAAGCTGACCGAGAGGCCCATCTGCAGATGCCTAATTAAAGCCTCTTGCGTGTTGCATCAATTAGCGCGTGGACTCTTGATTCTTGGGGTGACGAATCCAGCCTGGGGACCCTCCTCAATTTGGGGTACCCCAACAGGCAGCTCGTCAGTTCTAAGGCTCGAGCAAGCTCCTTAGTTTCCCTGGGCCCCAGTCTCCTCGCCTGTGGAATAAAGGGGGGGGTCCCCAGCTGATGAGGTGGTGGTCAAGGCTCCTTCCCCAGCACCTAGGCTCAGGGTCTCCACACTTCTCTCCTTTGCAGAAGCCAGCTGCACCCCCCCCCCCCCAGGAGGCCCACAGAGCACCTCCAAGGCAGATGGAGGCAATGCTCAGTACAGTTACACCTGCCAGTGTGTGCTACGGTGACAAATGACCTCAAACTCGGATAGAACCGATTGCCATGGGTTGGCGCATTAAACACAGCCAGCAGGAGGGACTTCCAGGAACTTGGACTTGCCTGGAAGTTTTAAGGACTCCCAACCCATTATGGGGAAGGCATGGCGGGAGGAAGCTTGCCTTCGCTAACCAGGCCCCAGAAGCCACCCCCTCTCCCCGATGGGCAACAGCGGCTGGAGTTCAGACATACACAAACCACCGCAGTCCCTCATGCCATAGTTCTTTCCACACTCCAGAGATGGGAACAAAGGGGAGAGACAAAGGGAACGCGAAGGACGCTGGATTTCTTCCTGCTGACATATTTATTCCGGGTTTTGTGTATTTTATGTTCGACCTCTTCCACTGCCGAGGAAGGCCACTTCAGGTAGGTGTGCTGCGTTAAGCTGGTGGACATGATGGAAAACCAAAACACAAAATAAAATCTCTGTTTAGTCAATAACTGAACCCAGCGCAGCTGGCCTTCACAGAGCAGGCACCTAGTCTCCATGTAGTCTCTCTCGGGTGTGGAACAGTAGCCGAGGCCACTGCTTTCCAAACCTACCAAGAAAACTCTGTCTTTTCTGAAGTCAAAATGGGAAACGCGGGGAGCAGAGCATTTCAAGCCTCCTCCACAAGAGGGCGCAGAGTGCCCGTTGCCGGGCCGCTCTGCCCCCAGCCAGCCCCGCCCGTGGCCTTGCGTTGCTGGCTCACAGCTCACCTTGTTTTGGCAGCAATGTTTCTCCGAGCCTCTTTGTTACTCCAGCCTAGGAGTAAGTGGAGAAGCCTTGGAGTCAGGTGTACTTGGATTAAAATCCTGGCTCTGCCATTTGCTAAAATCTTGGCAAGGTAGCGCTCATTCTGATTAATAATTAGTGACTTCTTCCCAAGCCTGGGGAAGCATAGAATTATAGAAGCTGGCACACAAAGGGACCTGCCTTGCACCTGCGTCACTGTAGCCCCTGCATTTCATGCATCAGAACCCAAGGTCAAACCCAAGATTGAGGCTTGAGGTCAGCCTACGTCTTACTTTCTGGACTCCTTCTTTCCCCTCCGGCACACATGAAAGGCAAGGGTCATTCACCAACAAGAGAAAAGACAGGACGCCCTTTTATGCTTCCCGTTAGAGCCCAGACTGAGTGGGCATTCATCATCTGGCTTCCGCAGTTACTTGACCCCTGGGCTCTCGGCTTCCTCAGTGGCCGCTGTGGAAAGCACAGGGTAGAGATTAAGACGGTACCTACCCCACAGTGTCTTGGGCACTTTCAACGACACCTCCTCATAGAGCCTGGCACTTCACAGGCCTGGGCTAAGTGTTAGTTCTGGGTTTTGTTTTGTTTTTTTAGCATAGTATTTTCATTATTTGGGAATTTCACATAATGCACCCAGTCCTCCCAGGTCCATCCCCCCAACCCTTGTGACCTCCTCCCAGAAAAAAGAACAAACAAACAAAAAACTCCAAAACCAACTAGTCCATTTTGCGCTGTCCATACACTCACCGAAGCATGGTCAAACTCCCAGAGGCCAGCCCTTTAAAGAAAACTGAGCCCTTCCCCACGCACCCCGCCAGAAGCCTTCAGCTGTGGAGAGCCACACCTCAGCACCCCTACGTAATTGTTAAGAGTCTCTCCAGTGGCTTCCTGTCTACACTGTTTCCTTCCTTCCTTCCTTTCATTCTTTCTTTCTTTCTTTCTTCCTTTAGGGGTATGGGGAGAGGTTGTCACAGAAACTTATGTCTCTCATTCTCAACTTATACAGTCATAGATATCACTGCAAAAGCTTCCATGCCCTTGACAGTCAGCCGGGTAGCAAAGATCATAGACTTCTACATGTTTTCTGACAACAGCACGGTACTCCAGTGACAGTACAGGGACCAGACATCAACTCAGCACTCGGTTCTTAAAATCTGTGTCATGCGAGCTTTCAGAGCACGCTCTCATCCGTAAAGTGAAGGTTGACCATAGGGTTGTGGCGATGCATAAAATATAACTGTTGTGCCCAAACTCTGAACCCCCAAATCACCAAGAGACCCGGTCTGATGCAAAAGCAAAGAGTCTTTAGTTTTACCTGACGTATCAGCATCTCAGGAGGGAGGAGCAACATCTTGTGGATGGAGGCTCACCCTGACCCCCACCGGTGTCCTGGGCTCCGGCCAACCGTCCCCAGGAGGAAATGTAGATTCCTCCTGCTGTTTGCTTCCTAGAGCTTCTGTACCACAACTGGACAGGTTAAAACCAGAGAAGTGTCTTCTCCAGAAACTCCACAAGCTAGAGGTCCAAAATCAAAGTCATCAAGGCAGGCCTCCACCTGACACTGGCCAGGACAACTAGCTCCTGGTGGTGGCCATCCGCCTCAGCTGTTCCTGGGTTTGCAGCTGCAGAGATCTCGTCTGCTCCTGTTGCCCACGGGCCACCTTTTTCCTTGCTCTTTTTTGAGCTGCTGATTGGGATGATAGCCGTATTGGATGAAGGGTCCAGCCTCCTCCTGTATGGGCCACACAGTACTTTCTCTCTCTCTCTCTCTCTCTCTCTCTCTCTCTCTCTCTCTCTCTCTCTCTCTCTCTCTCTCTCTCTCTCTCTCTCTCTCTGGTTTTGTGAGACAGGGTTTCTCTGTATTGTTTTGGAACCTGTCCTGGAACTCGCTCTGTAGACCAGGCTGGCCTCAAACTCAGAGATCCACCTGCGTCTGCCTCCCGAGTGCTGGTACTAAAGGCATGCGCCACCACTGCCCGGCAATACTTTATCTCTTAATTGCATCTACAGAAAAGATGTTGTTTCCAAATAAAGTCAATCCTCAGACACCAGAGATTAGGACTTTGGTCTGCTTGGGAGGGAGGGGCACAGCTAACTTCACATTTGCTGTTTACTTTTCCGTATTTGTATTGTTTCTGTTGGAGTCAGTCCTCCACCCAAGCACACAGAGCCAAGCAGCCATGGGATGAAAGCGCCCTCTGAAACCGGGAGCTGACATAAATCTTTCTTATAAGCTTTTATGTCAGAGGTTCCGTAACCGTGAGGCAAAAGCGGCTGACACCGCTTCCCACCCTTCTGAACCATCCCTGCACTCAAGGACTGTGCTCCCCTTTTACTTGGACACAGACCAGAGCGTCATGGCCAGGCCTGGCTTGTATCTCTTTCTCCTTACATGGAAAAGTGGAGAACTTTAGTTTTCTGTTCATCTCCCGGGATCTTCCAATTATCTTGCATCACATGACAGACACAGCTTCTTTTCTAGTGTATGGCCCTTATGGACTGCCCCCCACCCTGCCCCCCCCCCGCCTGTCCTGGTGCCAGCCCCATCCCATGGCCCGTCTGTCTCCCCTTGCTAATCACCGCCAAGGTCCATCTCTAAACCACTTCCCCTGTGATGCCCGCTGGGCATTTGTTCCCAGTGCCCCCTCACGCCCAGGCTCCGCAGTTCCCCCTTTCCCAGCCCTTTTCCAGTTTCCTTGGAGTTACAATATTCACTATAAGACCCTGTTTCTCTGCATAGGCTGGTGGCTTCTGGGAGATGGAAACAGACCTTTGTCAGAATTCCATTACACTAATGAAATGCCTGAGATAACTCATTTGTCTCAGAGACTCTGAGGTTCCAGCCCACAAACACTTTGGGTCTGTGGAGAGCCAAATGTCATCATGGGAGCAGGTGGGGAAATGACTTCAGAAGTAAAACTGTTCACCTCACAGCCAGGAAGAAAGGGGCATGAGGAGAGGCAGGGACTCCCTGAGCTGTGTTGCAGGGCTCACCTCCAGTGATTGCAAGGCCTCCCACTGCACCCCAGCTCTTGAAGGACCCACGGCCAAGCTAGGGACCAAACCTTTAACTTGGGCCTTGGCCTTAGGCTCCATAACAATGTCACAGAGTGGGCAGCAGAAAACAGAAGCTATTTTCTCACAACTCTGGTGATAGAAACCGGGATCAAAGTCTCCCAAGTCAGCTTCTTCTGAGGACTGGCTTTTCCCCTTAGTGGTAGATGGAAATTTCCTTTGTGTTCACACGTTCTTTCCTGTGTGTCTATGTCTGGTTTCCTTTTCTTAAAGTCCCATTAGGATACACCCTTACAATGTCATTTCAACTTATCTCTTCAAAGACTCTGTGATGGTTACTGTTGTGTTTGGTTTGTGACAGAATCTCACTATGTAGCCCTGGCTATTCTGGAACTGTCTATATGGATCCATCTGGCCTCAAACTCAGATATCCCTCTGCCTCTCCCTCTGCGTCCTCGGTGCTGGGTTAGTTTTTAATTATCAACTTGCCACAGCCTAGAATCATCTGGAAAGAGTCTCAGTGAGGAATTATGTAGATCGGTTTGGCTTTTGGGCACTTGATGTAGGAAGGCCAAGGCAGACCACGGTGGGCAGCACCATTCCCTAGACAAGAGGTCCTGAGCAGGGCAGAGACAGCTGGGAGAAAATAAGCAAGGATGCATTTATCCTCTTTTCTCCTGACTGTGGGTGTGAGGCGACTGTTTGACTTCCCCAAATGACAGGCTGTAACTTGGATATAAATGACAACCACGACATAACTACCTCAGAATACAGTTACCTTCTGTTCTGAGGCACTAAGAGTACAGACTCCAGGTCATCTCGGGATGGGGGTGAGGTGACATGATTTGACCTAAAACAGCTATTACATTTTAATAAGCTTAAATAATATATAAACGCATTGTTGTTACTAGCACTTCAAAGGGATGCTGGAGCGCCCCCCCTCCCCTTCCGTCCCTGAGCCCGTGTGTGGATCAGCCCTTTCATAAAGATGTGGTTTTGGTGGGTTTTTTTTTTTCCTGCTGTGAAATACTTTGTATTATGTCCACTCCTGTGCAAACCCGTCTTCTCCATTCTTCCTGTGTAGGTGTTACTCTCCTCCTTGCCTTGACATAGAGATGAACTGTGACTAACACATTCAGAGTAGTTGCTGGGCTATTGAAAGATGGAAGCATGGCGTATGTAAGTCCGCTACGTAATTTCCACAATCTCTTAATATTTTGAGTTCTCCTTCTCCTTACATGTAAAATAGAGGACAGCAATTGTGCTGGCCAGTTTTATTTCGGCTAGAGTCATCTGAGAGGAGGAAACCCCAACTGAGAGAATGTCTTCATCAGCTCAGGCTGCTGGCAAGCCTGTAGGGCATTTTCTTGATTAGTGATTGATGTGTGGGCCCAGCCCATTGTGGGTGGGGTGTCAGGGCCCATAAAGAGGGGTCCATTTTATCTGCCTCAAGATCAGAGAGTTTAAAACTGTTCTTAGACCTATTGTAAGATGTTCTGGTCTTGGTAGTGGATGTCTTTATCTAAATAACAACAGACTTGTGCTCAGGAGTGTTTACTCTTGACCCTGAAGGCCAGCTGGCAGATGTGGCTACCAAATACAGGGAGGATTAAGAAAAGTAAGTCTGTTTGCTCCTTATATGCAATAGTAGAAGTCTTTTGCCATTGTTGCCCACTTTTGGTTGGGTACTTAAGAATGTTAAAGAATAAACTAAGGGCATTCAAAATTGACTAGATTTGCCCTCCTGACTCCATCCCATGTCTCTGTCTTTCTCTTAACATCTCTACCTAGCTTTTCTTAAGCCACACTCCCCCTCTTAGGTACAAACCATGGGCAAGTCGGCTGGCTCCAGCTGCAGACCCGCAAAGACAGCCCCTCACATATGGCGCCCAACGCGCGGATAATACAGATGGCACCGCAACATGGACCTGAGCATGGGGGACAGAAGTAATGGACACCGCAGAGGAGCAGACACCGCTGGTGTAGAAGTGTGGAGAGAGCTCTCGGATGAAAGAAGTAAAGTGCGGTGAGTTAGCGTGGAGAACAAAGAAGTGCATAACTGTGGACATAAAACAGAAGACATTAGGTAAAGAAGCGAAATGCGATGAGTTAACCTCAGCAGTAAGGTGTCTATAAAACAGAAGAGTATTAGCCAGATGACTGCATATTTACTTGGGTGTATTTTAACAGCCAGGAGAAGTGAAGTAAGGGCAGCAGCAAGTACAAACATTTTTTAAATTTGTAAATTTTGTAAGTGTCCTTCCCCTTCACAAAAGTCGCCGCCCCAGCTGTCTCGGAGCTACACTGGGGCTTGGGGAAGCTAAGGTGCGGCCCCACATACGCTGTAGGTCAGCAGGGCCTGCGGGTGCCAAGGACTCAGAGTTGCTATGACGGTGGCTGCTGGCTTTTCAAGCAGCTACATCCACAGGTGACTGTAGTGGGCCAGCCCAGGCCCAGAGTGAAGGCAAGCTGAGGCCAGGCCTAGAAGCCCTGCAAACAGCTTCCCACAGTGGAGCCGCCCCTGGGCTGGGGGTCCTGGGTTCTATAAGGAAGCAGGCTGGGCTAAGCCATGGGGAGGAAGCAGGAAGCAGCTCCCCTCCATGGCCTCTGCATCAGCTCCTGCCCCAGGTTCCTGCTCTGTGTGAGTTCCTGTCCTGACTCCTTCTGTGAGGGACCATGGATAAGGAAGTGTGAGTCAGATGAACCCTTTCCTGCCGAGGCTGACTTTGGTTGTGGCATTTCACCTCAGCAATGGTAACCCTGACTAAGACAGAAATTATTCTAGTCATCTCCTAGAGCCATCCAATTAGCTGGCATGTGGCGGTTACCTTTCATGGGGCAGGCTGATGCATTGAGAGTTGCCTTTTGTGGAGCTGATGCCTCTGCTTTGCCTGGTAGTCTAAATTATAAGGAAAATCTGCACCTAAGTGATTCAGATGGTAACTGCTGGCTAATCTTTTTACAGAGAACACCTGGCTACTCTAGTCTTGTGTATCAGCTCTCACAAAGCTTGTGTCTTGACTTGGTAGACTTCCTAGGGGAGCCTTTACCCTCTCTGAATAGCAGAGGGGAAGTCGGGGGAGTGGGAGAAGAGGGAGGGGGAACTAGGATTGGAATGTAAAAAACTAAAAAAATAAAGTTATAAACAAAACAAAGCTTATGTCTTACCTTTCAGTTCCAGGTTACAACCCATCATAGCAGAAAAGTCACAGTGGCCAGCCCTCGAGGGATTCTTGCCGCTTTCGTCATGAAGGGACCAGCCCCCAGTTTTACCCATTACGGGCTAACATGTGCTCTTCTGACCTTGCCGCTCCTGTCCTGGTCTCTAGGTCAGATGCCGTCCTCGTGGCAAGGAACCAATCAGAAGTTATCTGTCGGGGCTGTGCTTTACGGCTCTGGGTGTGCTTTATGGACAAGTGCACAACAGTGATGTGAAGAACATAGCAACCGCCCTGGCCTGGGAAGGCCTATGGGCCATAACAACCAGTTGACCAATCAACACAGGGCGGGTTGCCCAAGCCTGAGACTGTTGCATACCCCTAGACACTCCCTTTACACTGCCCTATAAGATTCCTGCCTCGTGATTTCTCGGGGTCTTTTCTCCAGCCATCCGCTGTGGTGGATGGATGAGAGGCCCAAGTTAATGGAGTTAGCTTGTTAAACAACTACAATAAAAGGCTCTCTGCCTTGCAATGAAATGGGCCTCTTGGTGATTTTGGAGTTCAGAATTTGGGCACAACACTCAAAGTGTACCCAATAGGTTCAGATTGAGGGATTTTTGCCAAAGCCTTTCTGATAGCATATTTCTTCTTCAGCTTCACCTCAGGGAACACACTGGGTAAAGCCTTTCATTTGTTCAAAATCCCTTCAGTCCTCAGAGGCCCGGTGAAGTTATTCAGTCAACAGATGGGAGAGTGTAGGAGCTAAAGTTACGCTTTAAGTTTTACTTGTTGGGCCTATGAGATCAATAAAACAAAACCACCTCTAACCTACAAGCCCCTGGCCCAAGGACAGATACTTCCTGAGATGCTGGAGGCTATGGCCCATATAAGATAACAAACCGCATGTTTTCACTTCCCTAAAGAAGTCTGGTTGACTCAACTGCTCTGGACGTGCTTGATCACACGTAGACAGAGTGCATTGTTAACCTCCCTGATTGGGGAGAAGATCATTACCACAGTTTAAAGTCAAATCTGAAGCAAGCTTTAGTTAAATACTGGTCAGATTGATGGACTGTCTGGCCAGATCCATCTCTGGTTTCCCAGAAAATGACCCTGAGTTACACAAACAGTAACCTCCAACATTTCAGGAAGCATCTGTTCTTAGGCAAGGGGCTTACAGTTCAGAGTTTCCTGGATCTCTAAGGTGTAGTAATTAAAACTTAAACTGTAACTTTGGTTCTCACATTACAGAGGAAGAAGGTATATCAGGATGTAATGCTTGCCCCTGATTGGATGAAGGGTTTGCCTTTTTAAGCATCTGTGCAATGTGATTCGTTGCCATTTTCTGGGAACCCTGGAATATCTTGGCCAGAGTCCATCACCTTGGTCAACATTTAATTAAAACTTGCTTCAAATTTGACTCAGTAAGTGTGGTAGTGTCCCTATTCTCCACTTGTGTAATTAACAAGAAGAGGGCGTGGCTAAGCATTTTCTGAACTTTGACTGCATTCATTGGTGGAAACCAGGCTCATTTTAGCTACTCCACACAAAGTACAAGTAACTAAACCACCCAGAGGGTGAGGTAGTAATCTCATTTCTAGTCTCTTTTACTTGCTTTTCAAAGTTTCTGATTAAATCAACGAAAGCACTGGGTTATTTCTAACAGACTTTAAACATCCCCGTCTGTCTCCTTTTCCAACAAAGATGGAGCCTGGCAACAGCACCCAGGTAGAATTTAATCACCTTGCTTGGTTGTTTGGTTTTCTTTGGATTTATTGTCATGGAAATGATGCTGATTATCATAAAAATTGAGGGTTTTTTTTTCCCAGTTGAAGAAAAACTTGGCAGAGCTACATAAATGCTAATAAAAATAGCTATGTCATTAAAGTGAATACATTTCTACAGAAAAAAATATTGAACAAACAGCAATGTGATTAGCTCGCTGAAGTGGTAAAGATTGAGACGGGGTCTTTGCAGCTAAGGGGCAACAGCGTACAGTGAAGGCAGGCAGGGGACCTGGACTTCAGGGCTCGGCAGTGGCTCCCATTTCTGCATTCTCAGAGGCCCCTTGGCCCGTCCCAGCCCCAGTGCCAAAGAAAGCCAGCAATAAGTCCAGCCTTCCCTTTAGCTGCTCCTTTATTGGAGGCTTCTCTATTGCAAGTGGAAATTTCCATATCCTTTCTCATAACAATTACCCTCCAATCAAGTTTTCCCCCAAAATGAACAAAAAAGCAGCTAGCTTTTCCCCACCAAGGAATTAAATGGCAGGCTGTTTTACAAGGGTAGTGTTTTAAGCCTGGAAGAAAATTTAGGCTGTGAGGGTAGTCCCCCTTGTAGACCCAACCCCGGATGTTGAGGGGGCACATTCCACTCTCCTCACTTCTAAAGAAAAGCTTCAAAAAGCTCATCCTTGGCCTTTTCTTATCCAAGTGTGCCGTATTCCTGAGACCCATTCCTGGACCTTCCTCATGGTCTGACTTTTAAGGTGAAGTAGAAAACTATTGGCCAGAACTCTGGACGCTGGAGTTGTACTGCTGTAGTGACTTTCAGTTTATCGTTTGTCCTTGATAAAGGGTGGGTCCCCCTTCTGGTTGAGATTCTCCCCTTGATAGAGTCAGTATAAAAGTATGATTCTACAGTAAAGAAAATAAAATTTACTCCAACCTGAATGTTCAAGGCCCTGGAACATGTCACTCAGAGATGTAGTTTGAAAGTTTTGGTTGCAGGAGGTGAAGGGACCAGACCCTCCCCCAGCCCCCTGCTTTAGCAGCCATGACAGGCTGCAGAAAAGACACAGCAAGATGTAGGCCTCTGACTCAGCACATGTTGCTGAGTTTCTGGCCTTCTGACCTTGCTAGACCTGCCCTAGTCACTAGGAGGTCAGATGCCCTCCATGTGGCAAGGAACCAATCAGAAGTTAGCTGGCGGGCTCTGGATGTGCTTTACTGTAATTGCAGAATGGTGGCCTGCAGAGCATAGCAACCACCCTGGGAGGGCCTATAGGCCATAGCAACCAGTTGACCAATCAACACAGGACAGGTCCCCCAAATCCGGAAGAGCACCAATCCTGAGACTGTTGCAAACCCCTAGACACTACCCTTGCTCTACCCAATAAATTCCCTGCCTCATGGCTCCTTCTAGTCCTTCAGAATTTGTGCACAACTTCTGTTGTGTTGTGTTGTACTCACAGTGAGGAAACAGATGAGTATAAAAAGTCTTTCTCTGTTCTGCCAGCCAGGTCCCAAATAATGACACAGAGACTTGGTTTTTTGTTTTTTTTGGGGGGGGAGGGGTTTCAAGACAGGGTTTCTCTGTGTAGCTTTGGAGTCTGTTCTGGAACTCGCTCTGAAGACCAGGCTGGCCTCAAACTCACAGATATCCGCCTGCCTCTGCCTCCCGAGGGCTGGGATTAAAGGCAGGCACCAGCATCATCCAATCTAACTAGCTCTTATAAGTTAAATTAACCCATTTCTATTAATCTACATGCTGCCAAGTGGCTCATGGCTTTTATCTCTCCTTCTTCGTGTCCTGCTTCCTCTGTGTCTGGCTGGCAACTCCTTCGTACCATGATCCTCTCTTCCTCTTCCTTCCTCTCTGCCTGGAAGGCCCGCCTATCTCTCCTGCCTTGCTATTGGCTGTTCAGCTTTTATTACACCAATCACAGCAGCACATCTTCCCACAGTGTGCAAATATTCTGCAACAGATGGATGCTGGTGTCAATTTGCTACCCCCCCTCCCCACTTCTCTTCTTTTATTTGGCCCAGGATCCCAGCTACCCTCATTCAGGTGTCTCTCCTCCCAGGTAACATGCATTTTCCCAGGTGACTCCAAATCTGTCAAGGAGACCAGGAGGATCATCACACGGGACAAAAATGAACTCAGGACAGGCTATCTTTCTAACATGTTGTTGTGCCCAGACTCTGAACCCCCCAAACCACCAAGACACCAGATCTGATGTAAAGCAGAGTCTTCATAATTAACGAGTTAACTGGAGTTAACTCAGGTCCTCCATCTGTGTGACACAGCAGGTGGAGTAGGAGGGACCCGGAGGAGCAGTGGGGCAGGATGTATGTTGGGGTAGAGCAAGGGGAGTGTCTGGGAGTCCTCTAGTTGCATAGCAACAGCCTGGGGATTGGTGCCCCTGTGGGCTTGGGCTACCTGTCCTGAGTTGATTGGTCAGCTGCAGTTGCAGAAAGGTTGCTATGCCTGGAGGCCCTCCCAGGGCAGCTGCTATGCCCTGAATTCCACCATTATCAGTAAAGCTCATCCAGAGCCCAACAGCTAACTTCTGATTGGTTCCTTGCCACATGGAGGGCATCTGACCTCCTAGTGACTAAGACAAGTTGGGCAAGGTCAGGGGCTCAATGCATGCTGCTGAGTCAGGGGCCTATGTCTTTCTGGGTCTTTCCTGCAGCCTGTCATGGCTGCCAAGGCAGGGGGTTGTATGAGGGTCTGGGTCCTTCATTGTCACATCAGAATGCACATGATGTCCACTTCTCATGGGGACCCTAACTAAGTCAATCAGTAGTGTCCACTTGATGTCCTCACTGTTCATACCCTTCTCTTTGTAATCAACAAGTAAATTTAGAGAGAAATGCTTTGAGACCGTCTGATTGTTATACCCCTAAACAACTTGTCATGTAATGATCTTCACATTCATACATGATCTCACCTGAATCAGTTATCACTATGGTAGTTGTAAGACAATGGTTTTAATTTCCTCCCTCCTTGTAACATAAGATTCTTGGCCTGGCTGGTCCTGCCACCCTTCTCTGCCCCAAAGAAACACATGGATGCTATATTAGTTATAAAGTTGTTGGCCGTTGTCTTGGGTTTCTTATTGGCTATCTCTGTCTTAAATTATTAACCCATAACTACTAATCTATGTATTTCCATGTTTTACCAGGGAATGCCGGACCTGCAACTCCTTTGCCTTCTACATCGTGACTGCTGAGCATCTCTGCAGAGAAGAGAGCGATTTCCCTGATTATATTTTGATTCTGCGCAGCTATGCCACTTCCTGCCTGTCTGTACAGCCCTCCAGACTTCCATGGTTAGGTAGTGGCAGTTTCTGCCCAGCTATGTCACTTCCTGGGATCACATGGCAACTCCTGTCTGCCTACACTTCCCAGAGTCCTCCTTGTCTCCTAATCCTACCTATCATCCTGCCTGGCCAATCAGTGTTTAATTCATCAACCAATAAGGCAAATATATACACAAAAGAACATTCCTCATCATG